TGGCCGCTTTCTTCAATTTTAAGGGGAAGCTAAATAAATGTTTATCATAGTTAGTTCTGTGCGGAAGCTGTCACCATCAGCTCCAGAACTATCCGTAAGCTCAGATAAAGCCTTGTGTAGCTCCACGACTGCAGCAGGGATGCTGCCAGTCTCATCTTCCTGGCCCACAGTGGTGCAGTTGGGTGTTCTGGTGTTCTTGTTTTCACAGAGAGCACTTGGATGCTCTAAAGCAGTGCTGCCTGGGCGATGAGATGTGGAATAGGGGGCAGCAAGCCCCGGGGGACACCAGGATGGGCTCTGCTGGAAGGAGGCAGCCGCAGCTCTGCGAGGCTGTGGGCAGCAAGCACCGCTTCTCCACAGGGCTCCTGTCCCCGTGCGGTGCTTGCGCCTGCTGTGGGAGGAGGAGGAACCTGTTCCCTTCACCCCCAGAGCCACCGGGATGCTGCAAAGCTGGAGCTGGGGAAGCCTGAGAGGAAGCCAGGGCCTGGCAACAAAATACCTGATAACGAGACTGCTCTGTACCGCTGCTGTACCCTCTGCTCAGTCCTTTTTCTATTGGAATTTACAGCCCTGATTTGAACATTATAAGGTGTTTCACAGTGAAAAAGGGAGAGAGCCTCATTTTACACACACCTAATAGCAGTAAGGTCATTGACTGGCCAAGTTAGCTAGTTCCAACCTTACAGTGATGCTACATTTTAAGAGCTAGAAGCCTTTTGTGCTCACTTCTTTCTTTCCCCTTCCTTCACCACTGCTTCCTGGTTTTCCTGTGTCTCTTAAACATTCCAGCCAGGTGGTCCTTGTACCTCTTTTCCCTATATTCAGTAAATGTATCTTTTCTGAGTTAGGAATGTGAGGTTTCACTTGCTGCTCTTCTGGCCTGTTCTTCTGAGTTCTCCTAGGTGGGCAGACATTCATTAAATACTCTCCTCAACATACCTGGAGCTTGTCATAGGAAGGGGTTGACCTGCATAGGCTTATTGTGGTAAAACTTGCTTGCCTGTACCTGCTCTGGGAAAAAACATGCACTTGGAATTCTAATGCTGTAGTTAGATGTTATGCTGCAGGCAAAACTGCAGAGGGCTCTGCTAGCCTGGCTGTGATAGACTGACTCCACGGTCTTGTCTAGGAAGCATCTGAGTTAAATCACTGTGCTGTTCTGTGCAGAAAGTTAGCCCCTATTGATCTTATATGCATTTTTTTTGCCAAGACTTAAGTAGAAGATATGAGCTGAAGAAGATGCATGGCTTTCATGAAGAAAACAGAGGAATTTGCTGCATATTGCATAATGTAAAAATACTACAAAAATTAGAATTGCCAAATTACTGTTTTTTTTTTCTTGTGAGACATGTGGTGGATGTTACAGGTATGTTTACAGGTTATAATTACAGGTCAGTAGAAGCTTCTGCACTGACTCCCTTAAAGCCACTTTCCCGTCCCTCGAAAAAGCCCCGAGTCAGCACTCAACCCTTTTACTCTACGGATTTGTTTCTGTTAAGTCACTCAGACCCCATATCCTCTGTGCTCCTAATTTGGAATACTATTTTTAAGTAACTCACAGCCTCTGGTGCTGTGCCTCGCAGTTCAGGAGAGAAGAGGTGGTGGTTTCCTGCAGACAGGAAGTGCTGTCTGGATACCATCTCAAGAAGCAAAACAACCAAAACAAAGAATATTAGGCTTGAATTCCATCATTTGTTTCTTTGCTATTGCTGAAGGTATTTGCCGTTATGGTTTATTCAAAATTTAGATCCTTACTAATATTTTTGTCCCTTCTCTGAAGGAGAGGTGGATTTCCTGTCTGCCAGTTTTAACACTACTAAGTAGTTCACCTCTTCATTAAAGCAGTCATGGAGGCACATTAGGCTTGATGAGTTACATTAATCTTTCCTCTTAGCCTGTTCCCATTTACAAGAAACAATTAGTCTGAAAGGATATATCGCTGGGTGAGTTTTTTTACTTCTGTGGTTGCATAGTTCTGGAATGTCACAAGGTTTTCACATTTGCATTGGTCTTTATCTTTTGCAGCTTTTGCTGAAAAACAGAAACAGTCAAGCATACACTTAAAATACCGAATAAATCCAAAACAAGCATGTCTAAGTGCAGAAGGGGCTTAGTACAGATTCTTGTTCTTAAAACTAGTCAACATCCAAAGGAGTGCTAGGGGAAACACATTGGGAATACTGGAAAATAGTACACAACACTTTGTAGTCTATATTCAAAGAGCAGTCTGGATTATCTAAAGAAAGATAACCTGATTACCTGTTATTGTTGAATAAGTGAGAATGTCTTCAAAAAGATACTTATGGTGTACTGCAAAATTGGGACAGGCAAGGACATCTATGATGGCTACTGTGTCTGATTCAGGTCCTGTAGGAAACCCCCAAAAGATCTAAAAGTCAAATCTACTTCACTTACGATTATACAATATTTTTCTCACTGTCATGCACTGGGTCTCCTAATGAGTGTGTAATGAGCACTGGTTGCAGTGAGGATCGTTTGTGGACAGGACTAGTGCTGAAGAGGTGAAGCAACCGGGCTGTTAAATTGCACAGACGCTGAACACAGCCTAAGCTGCGCGCTGCAGAACTGAAAGGGAGCTGTGAAGGTTTCTGTCAGTCACTTTAGTGTGGATGAAACAGGAGTGATTGAACATGCTGAACATGCTTTGGAGCAGAGTGCTGCAATGCAAGTGTCCCCTTCGGTAATCCATTTGGGTGGTGTAAGAACGGAGCATGCAGCCATGCGTTCAGTACAACAACTCTCAGAAGTTGCTCTGGGTAAAGCAACTCGCTGAGTTGATTTGCAATGGAAAGGAGAAGGGTTTCTGGCTAGGGGAGGGACACAGGCTTCCATAGGGACGTCTGCAGAAGGAAGAGGCAGCTTAGCAAGGAGCTGTGGGAGAGCTAACCTGGAGGCTCTGGATCAGGCTTATGAAGTGTCCCAGATGGTGGCTCTGGCCGGTGAGCTGAATCTTGCAAAGCTGGCAGAAAAAATTGCCAAAGGGAATGAAATCATAAAGGGAGCAATACAAATTCTTTAATTCCCTAGAATGGAGATGTTTCTTACCAGTAACCTCTTCTGCTGGTGCCTCTATCATAATACATGGGGAATGCCTCATACCTGTGCAGTCTGGAGGAGGCCCAGTGTCTGTGGAAACTCCAGAACTCACCTTTCAGCTGAGGTTTGCATAAGAATTTTTCCATAAGATAAACAGCAGTGAAGAAATTTGAAGTTACGACAACCTACTTTGTGTCCTTTCAGAGAAAATTTGTTATACAAAGGAAGAATTTTCTTATTTGCCTTCTGTTTTCTCCTTTCTAATGGAAAATGTTGATCAGAATCAGTGCGCTTAAGTCAGTACAATAGAATTTTTGTGGTGCACTAGAATTGCAAGCAAAAATACAAGTTTCGCATTCATGAATGAGCTTTTGTACGGTAGGAATTATTTTAGAACCCATGTAAATGATGGAAACGTATTTCATATGTAGGTGTAACCACCTGAATGAGTATTCTGCACATTTTCCTTAAGAAACGCAGCTTTTGTTTCGCAAGGATTTTTTTTTTTTTAACAGAATGAACACTGCCTTCAGCTAACCGTGAAGCTCTTAGGGGTGCAGATGAGCTAAAGAACATGAATTTAACAGCTGCCTGCCTTGATCAACAGTGCTAGAGGCAGAAGGGCTGGTGGAGCAGGGTGCGGAGCGGCCCCGGAGTGTCCAGAGGGAAGCGGCTGGGCCAGTCCGGAGCTCCCAGGTGTGGGGCATCCCCGAGGCCGGAGCCGGGAGCTGGGAGAGCAGCTCAGAAACTGCCACAAAGGGGCAGGGTTTGCTTATTTTTCATGTGGCAGGAAAACTGTGGCAGCTAAAAACCCCTGTGAGTACCTGTAAATATGTATTACCACCACAGAGCTCGGCGGCTTGCTAATGAGTGAGAATTATTACACCAGATAATGTGGGCTCTGGAATCTCCCCAGCTTCTAAAATAACATGCTGGCAGCAGCAGATCATCTGTGGAGCAAGAAGGCTAATGAACAGGCTGGGGTTTTTATTACTAGGGTATTTTGTATTTCAAAGATGGAGGTAGAAAATTCGCAGGACTAAGGGAAACACAAGGGATATGCAACCTGTGAAACATTCTCAGGTTCTTTTTTTTTCAGATTCTTCCTAGATATCTGCATGGCAGAGAAGTACACTGCCCATCAAAATAGAAAACTTTTTTTTGCATTAAGTTCTGAAATTCTAAAAAAAAAAAAAAAAAGAAGAAAAAGAAATTTAAACCATTCTGTACAATTCTAATGCCCAGCGTTACTCAGTACCACTTCTGAATTTTGCTCCACGTAGCAGTTTGATAGTACAAGTAACACTGAGCCCTGGGAGTACGTGAGTGTCTCCTCCCCGCTTGGGCAGGGCTGAGCCCGGCTCCCGTCCCCCTTCCCCTTGCAAAGCCTCAGGAGGGAATGTCCAGAGAGAGGCGGCTGAGCCGGAGCGAGGACGGGTCCCTTCTGGAATACAGGCTCTGCACTTGGGACACACAGCCTGGAGCTTATGCAGTGTTTGTACTTGGAACTCCTGGCATATTTTAGAACATATTTCATTCACAGCAATGAATTCTGGTGTTTTGTAGGTATGCACAATAGCTCTTGATTATTCCTTCTGTTGTACCTCAGTGTTTTGCTACTTCTCTTGAGCATTTGCTTATTCTCATTAAAACATTAGAAATCACTGTCTATTTTCACATTCCCAATGAACTAGCTCATGCTGCTTTGGCTGGGTGGGGTTTAGAGCAGCGCTGACCTAACTGTAGCAAAAAAGAAAGGGGAAAGGAGGGAATCGATTCTCCTGGGCCCTGAAGTATATATTTTATGCAAACTTTGTGAAAACTAAGCAAAATAAATTACGTACCTTTTCTTGGATTCAGATTAAGGTTATATATTCCTCATGTGCTAAAAGGCAGAAATATTACCCTAATTAATAACTTTTGTCTTGCAGTGGCTGTGACTAATATTATGACAGAGTCACAATGAATAAAACTGACTGTTCTTTCAGGCCTGGAAATTACATGCATTCATTCTTCTTATTCTGCACAGTGAAAGCAAAATACTGGTACCTTCACAGATCTGCACTCTTAGCTTTTCACTTATCTCCTCCATGGCCGTGAAATCCTCAGCATAGAAAAGATGTGATGGCTCAGAAGCAATTTCCAGCAGTTCTTCCTCAATTGCTTTTCCTATTCCAACGGCATAGATAATTATACCTAGATTCAAAAGAAATTGCACAAAATGATTACACCAGCAATTTAAAATCCTGTTTTTCTGCAAAGGGAAAACATATGTATTAGTCATTTTATATCTAGAGTGAGGGACGGTGCAAGAAGTGCATGTGCTGTGTATCTCCCAAATAGCGTTTGAACAGGTTTAATGTGCCCTGGTTATTAATAGTTGTGTAGAAACACGCCTTGTCTTTTTTTTTAAAAAGCAACAAATACAAAGTAGAGCAACCTTCACTATTCCATTTTTGAGCAGGTAATTGGAAATCTTTTTTTCTGATGAACGTACAATCTGATGCAACAGTTCATCAGTTCTGGCTTACAAAGTATCCACAACTGCTTTTGTGATTGCAGTATATTAGGAAAAAGTGCAAGAATTCCCTTCATAATTTAACAATTATGTCATAGTGACTGAAGGTCTTTTTCAGATTCAAGAGCAGAAGCTGACTTTTCACATGGATGGTTTCAGATAAAGCAGAGGGTGGGCAGGCTTGATAGCTCTCTATCATCACTAGATAATAGTGGCTGCACCCTTACTGAATTGCAGCTTTAACCCTCTCACCAAAGAACATACCAGGATTTTCCAAGTCTTTGGCATTTGGTTGAAACACCTCCTTGCTTTCTATTATGAATATGCCTGCCATTGCACTTAACTAGGAATGTAAAACATTTACCAGAAACAGATTCAATTTGATGAATGGACCAGTCATGCTGAGGTCTGTTACTTTTTAAAGACTTGGAGATATCACTGATAAAACATTTAAGGCCAAATTCATATTCAGCAGTACTATGTTGCCTACAGTGCAATTACACGGGGGATGGACTTGGCTTGTAGTGTTACAAACACCACTGAAAGCAATGCAGAGCTCTGTTTCCTTCTGCAAGAAAGCAAGGTTGGCTTCATTTCTTTCCTCCTTCAGTTCCGTAAATTTTCCATCTCTGCTTCCAGATCTTGCTACTTAATCATAAATCTTTGGGTTTGCTTTTAACCTTTTAAAGAACATTTTGTTGTGACAGCAAGCTCGTTAGCTCTGTTGCGTCCTATTCTCAACTTTTGCACACTATTTCTGCTGACATCCTTACACGTTCTCTGTTTTCTCCTTACAGAGAGATGTCAGTGCTGATCAGGGCTATACTAATAATGGATCAGATCACAATAGTTATGCCAAATTGATTTTAAAAAAAAGTGCAGGATCTCCTAAAGTCTGGCTACTTTCCCTGTGCTTCAAGCCATCATCCCAGGTTCTTAATAGAGTTCCTCATAAAATAGAAGATGTTCTGCAAAGAAAAAAGGCTTCTTTTTTTCTTGGAGTATTTTGGAAAATTTTAATCAGCTTGGCTGAAGATTCTGATTTTTAGTACAGCTGTCCTAGAGGATCGATTTCTGCCCCAGAAATATTTTATATTAAAAATCACCAGTTTTCAATTATATTTTGAGATGAGCTATCATTTGGCAAGGCACATAGAAGGATAGACAGCACTGCTACTTATTTCTCATATCCTCTGACCTTGGAATGACATGCCTCAGAGCTAAGACTTCTGTGAAGAGCCAAGACATGATGGTCTGCTGCAGTGGTCATGTCCTACAGCACGCCCAGCATACTATGACAAGCTCTCTCTTGGTTAGCACATGCTACAGCATCTTATTTTTAATAATATTTGCCGTTAGAAAGAATCAAACCCATCTCCAGTTACCGTTTTGCTTTGCTCTAGTAGCCCACTCAGACACTTCATCTTGGGCTCGTCCATCTGTGAACACGACGGAGACTCGAGGGACGCCAGCTGAAATCGGCCTGGCTCCTTCTGCTTCTGTGAAGCTCCTCTCGAGCATGTGCTTCAGAGCCAGTCCTGTCATGGAACCTCTCTCCATGTACTTCATTTGAGATACAGCTTTCTTCATGTCTTTGACTGAGCTGAACTGCCTTAATGTAAACTCTGTGCGGACTTCTGTGGAATACTGAAGCAAACCGACCCGAGCAGCTTTGGGTGAAATCTCAAGTGAATCCAAGACGTCTGAGACGAACTGTTTTACAATTTCAAAATTGTTCTCTCCAAGACTTTTCGATCCGTCAATCACAAACACCAGGTCAATGGGGCCTTCAGTGCATCCTGTAAAATAAGTAGCACAATTATTTAGCTAGTGCGAGTCTCCAGTTGCCAAACTCTGCAATGTTCCTAACAGAAAAGAGCTCCACAAAGCTGAAAATAGGAGCAAGATAGTCAGGAACTGCGAACTGTATGAACTCAGAGGTGTCCAGAACACCTTGTTTCTGGCTCCGACAACCTCACCAGCATGTTTAAAGATATTCTGTACAGTCTATATCAAAAGCTAAGAGCACGCCAATGACCATGACTTTAATAAAAGTATGGTTACAGTAGATACTTAATGAGACATATTTGCATTGTAGAATAATGCAACACTTAAAAACACTGCAACAATCAGCTATTTTTAAGAATAACTTAAGTAGGAAGAATTGTGTAACTGAAGAATATAGCTAGGATAGATACATAGAAATAGAGTTGCCATCATTTTTCTGCCAGGGGTGGGCCAATATGCTATCTTTTCATTTATGTAGATATCCAATACTGAAAGACATCTTAGAGGGTGATGTGAATCATTGGAGCTGCACTTGTACTGCTAAAGTAGCAAAAGGCAAAGGCGGTGAAAGAAATGAGTCACTGAATGCGAGTAGGGCGACGGCCTAGCAATGGGGTTTAGAACAGCAGGGAAGAGCAAGGCAAAAGCCAGACACCTGGGGAGGGCTGGCAGGGGGTTGGATAGCCTGCCCTACAGATTGGGATGAGGTTCAAGTCTGGGGACAAGATGCAGACAATGCACGTGTCTTTTTTACTTACGCCTTCAGCCGCAGTGAAACTGCTAAAATACTGTATGTGAGAGTGTTAGGAAGGTGACTAGCTGTCATATCTTGGATCAGAATTGTTTGTGTACATTGTTTCATCCATAACTCTCGTACAATTTTGTAATTAGAAAGTTTGGGCATTGCTGAAAAGAAAAACTTTGCTGTTTTACCCATGAAAGTTGGGAATGAGTCCAGGAGAGACTGGCAAATTTGGAGTACTCATAACCGTTGGTAAATACACAGGCAGAAATCCAAAGCAATCCAAAGGCAGTCAGCACCCATGATGAGGTTAGGGTATTTAGGGAATGGAGAGTGTCTTCTAATCTGCAAAGAGGCAGGTTCTGTCAGGTGCTGCCTCGGGATAGCGGGTGCCTCCACAAAGCAAAGTTCTGTGCAAGGGGCTGACTGCAGAGCTCATAACTGCTGGTAAATACACAGGCAAAAATCCAAAGCAATCCAAAGAGAGCCAGCACCCATGATGAGGTTAGGGTGTTTAGGGAATGGAGAGTGTTGTCTAATCTGCAAAGAGGCAGGTTCTGCCAGGTGCTGCCTCGGGATAGTGGGTGCCTCTACAAAGCACCACCAGCAAGTTCTGTGCAAGGGGCTGACTGCAGAGGTTCACAGCTCTACTTGAAGCAATGTCACTTAAGCAAATCTTTTAGTAATTTCCAGGGTGAATTTGCCAACCTGAGGCATGTAAGATTTGACTCCTTATCTTTTTAAAAAGATTTTTAGTGTCAGCTTGTCTGAACCAAACTAACTTTGATCTCTCTTTATCTCTCATGGGTATATAGTAAGGATGCTCTAAACAGAACACAAGATAGAACTGTGCAGATCTGTTCAGTATTGTCCTCGATTCCATAGCAAGACCAACGAGAAATTTAGAAAGCACGGTGCATGAAGAAAGGAGCAGGTTTTTTTCTTTCCATAAGGAAAAGAAAGATGGATATGAACCATTATAGTACCCTTCCAAGTATAGAAGGGGATTATTAAGAAGATGACAATAAATCGTTTTTTCTCATGTGAATAGAAAAGGTATCTGCTGTAACGATAATGGGCTATTACAAAAAAAAAGAAAAAAACACACACAGTAAAGTGAAATCATGAAAGCAGACAAGGAGGCTACTTAGCACACTGATATCTTACCTTGACATTAGAAAGTTTTTGAAAAAGGTTACTTGAAGCACCTATCAGAAATTATTTATACATATATATATACACTATGATTCTGTCTCAAGTGAGATCACTCACTAGAGTGATCTAGATCACTTCTTACATTAACTGGAACCAGATCATTTCTTAAGACCCCTGCAAGTGCTCTGTGTCTCTGCCTCCTGTTACAAAAACCAGTGATGCTACTTTGCCTGGGGGTGGTAGCTTCACTAAAGGTCTGTGTGTAGTACTGGGTCTGCACTTAACTGGAAAGATCTGTATCTTTTCTTATCACTAAGTGATTGCAGACTAGAGCAATAGATCCTGCAGGTGGCTGTCTGGTGGGGTAAGTGTGAGGGTTTGGGATCGTTGGATACCTCCCAAGAGTGGAAGTTACCAAAGGAGATCTTATCATACGTTCTTTCCACATTCCTTTCTGCTTTCACTGCAGAAGTTACCAAGAAGTTTTGTTACCAAGTCAGGGCAGGGATAAGGAAGTTCAGTTATGAATCTTTGACTGTTCTTAGACAATAAATCCATTTTTAGAACTACTGCCCAATAATTTATTTCTGCAGACATATGAGGAAAAAATGTGTCACACCTACTGAGGTGATGGAAATGCAAGGAATATGAATATCATAACCTCTCTTTTTTAATTAGGATTGAGATCAGCCATAGGCATGTTACCATTCTTTTAGTAATGAAAATCTCCCCAAGTAAGGCACTAATTTTGTTGAATAATAGATTTTATTGAGTTCCAGTTAAAAAAAAAGAGAGGAAAGAAAAAGAAAAAAAAGTGTTTCTTCCCCAAGAATTAACGGTGATGAATGAACTGGAAAGTGATCTATATAACACATGTTAGAAGATAAGAAAATAGACTTAATGATATTTTAAAACAAAGCATAAAAGGATAGATGCTTCACACTACAGGAATCTGATTAAAGTCCACATTCCTCAATAACAAGAGTTTACTCTGGGCTTTTTCCTGATATTTAGAAAGAATTCTTACTGAATCTCATAATAGACCAAAACAACTGTTCCACTGCATTAGTTTTTGTTTACAAGAGCATGAAGTTAAATAGTTCAAGGCATTTTCCATCGCACTCACATATGCTGTAGGATTTCAAATATGACACCAGTTTTGAAGTGAGGCATTCCAAGGTCAAGTAATTTTAAAAATCAAAGAAACAAATACTTTATAAATGAAGTGTACTTACTTTTGCAGGTTTTCTTATCCTCTTTTAGTACATATCCCTCCTGGCATTTACAAATGTATGAATCATCATTATTAACGCAAATATGTTCACAGCCATGGGCAACTGATTTGCAGACATCTTTACCTAGGAATAATTGAAGCATTTATGGAGTATTCTATTTAAAAAATTTATAAATTCAAAGACTATAGACATGGTATTTGAAGTGTGTGTGACAAAGAAATTGAACATCTTTGTTCTTTAATGTAGTGTTGCCAGAGGAGAGAATCAGAGCAGTTACTTACTACGACATGTTTTTCCATCTTGTCTCAGGACAAAGCCCTCATGGCACTGACAACTGTATGAACTGTTAGTATTAACGCACACGTGTTCACAGCCATGGTCAATGGATTTACACAGGTCTTTATCTGAGAATTGTTAAGAGAATTTCCTTGTTAGATTGTTTCTCAAATGCGAAACTGCTGCCACGGACAGGCTTTGAGTCTGTTATCTTGTTTTTGTGACTGAAAACACATCTTCCCCATAAAAGTTCAAGCTACTCACTCCTGCATGTTTTCCTGTCTTGCCTCAAAATAAATCCCTCATGGCACTGGCAAGTGTATGAATCACCAGCTGGAACACAGACATGTTCACAACCATGGTTGAATGTTTTGCAGATATTTTTACCTGGAAATAATGAAAACGATTTTAACATAGTTGGTCATGAAAACAACACACAAACTGTAAAAATTATAGCAATAATCTTCCACAAAAGATCTTATTTCCATGAAGATAAATATACGTTAAAGACACAAATAACATGCTACTGTTGCATACTGTGTTTTACTAGGAGATCAGAAAGTAGAAAGCATATAGTAAAAATTAAACAACTCACTTCTGCAAGTTTTCCCATCTTCCTTCAGTATGAATTCATCATGACACTTACAGATGTAGGAATCATCAGTATTCACACAAATATGTTCACAGCCATGGTCAATTGAGTTGCAGACATCTTTATCTGAGAAGAATGGATAGAATTTGTTAGGTGGGGAATCTTAGCGAGTAATAACACCCTTTATTAAGCATCTCAAATTGTTGGACAAAAAAGCAGATGAACGTACAGATGTGCAAGCACTCACAGCTTCAACAACACATAACAAGTGTCATATAAAAACATGCTCTTTTTTAACAGATCAGCTACTCACATCTACATGTCTTCCTGTCTTCCCTCAGCATAAAATCCTCATGACATCTGCAGATGTAGGAATCATCAGTATTCACACAAATGTGCTCACAGCCGTGGTCAATTGCATTGCAGACATCTTTATCTGATAAGAGTATACAGAGTTACTTAGATGAGGCATTTTAGGGAGTGATGATCTCTTTTATTAACCATCTTGAATAGTTCAAAAAAAAACAGGTGACTGCGCAGATGCGCAAGCACTCACAGCTTCGCACTTAACAAACCTAGTATAAAAACATACTCTTTTTTTAATAGATCAGGTTACTCACATCTACATGTCCTCCCATCTTCCCTTAGTATAAATTCCTCATGGCACTTGCAGATGTAGGAATCATCAGTATTAACACAAATTTGCTCACAGCCATGGTTGATTGAATTGCAAACATCTTTGACTGCAAACAAAAGAGTTGGCAGTCAAAACATATCAGCAGAGAGACCTTGATTACATGTGCAGCTAATCAAATTAAGCTCTCATGCTACTTACTTTTGCAGGTTTTCCCATCTCCTCTCAGTAGGAATCCATCATGGCATTTGCAGATATATGAATCATCAGTATTAACACAAACATGCTCACACCCATGGTTGACTGATTTGCAAAGATCTTTATCTGAGGACAGATGACAGTTCTTGATGGTCAATACATCTCTACACTTGCATGAGCAACAGATCAAAAGTATGCCAATAAATACCAAGCTACTTACTTTTGCATGTTTTTCCATCTTCTTTTAGCAGGAAACCCTCCCGACACTTACAAACAAACGAATCACCAGCATTAACACAGGCATGTTCGCAGCCATGGTTGACTGATCCGCAAATATCCTTGCCTGAGAAGAGGTAGATAATATTGAATGTTGTTTGCTAGTTAAACATTTGATTAAGTGCAAAGACAGCAGGGATAATCCCATGAACAAAGAAAGATGGGGGCTGCAAACAGAAGGCAAATTCCTGGCGAGTCAAATGATAGTTTAGCTTATACGGAACATGAGTTCATCACCATCTGAACTGAAGGAATCGCGTGGTTTAGATGGCCTCTCACTGACAATAACTCACTTTAGGATCAATCTGACTAGTCTAAGACATTATGTTAATAGCAGTAATAGAAGGTGAAAGGAGGGAATAATTTAGCACAGTCATTAAGCACAAATTCATGGTTATAAAAACAAAATGAAGCAAAAACAGCGCTGGACATAAGACAAGCAAATTCATTAAGACTCTTAGATCAATGCCAAAGATGTATAAAAAAGCAAAAATAGGAACTACTCAGTCAGGAGGATAAATAAAATCTAACTGGCATTGTTGAAAATTGATGGTGTGTTTGGTTTGAGTGCAATGTTAAATCAATTGATGATAACCTATTTAAGGATATCATAGTACAAAGCTAGATAAAACTAGATAAAATGTAGGAAGAAGTAGAGTTGTATGTCACCATTACCTGTTTCTTTATGTCATTTGTCAGTGTTTTACATTTACACAACGTAAAAGGAAGTATTTGCAGTTGCTAATGGAGAAATACTTCTTCATGTCAACAGTGTGTGCCACTGACTGCCAAGTTTGTATTGGCTCTTGAGCAAAATACCTAATTAAAATGTGAAGGGGTAAAAAAAACTAGTATTTTCACAAGAACTTCAGCCTCAGGTATATTACCTGAAGGTCTCATGTTGATTATTGTTCGATAGAAAAGTTCCTAAAAATACTACAGAGGACAATTTTCTTACTCAACAAGCATTACATTCAAGACATCACAAATCTAAACTACATCCCATTCTAACAAACAGACAAAAAACAAAATGATCATGTAATTAAAAATGACTATCAGTTAATACACAGCCATAACTCAGACAGACAAAAAACAAAATGATCCTGTAATTAAAAATGACTACCAGTTAATACACAGCCATAACTCAGACACAGTTATTGCTGACAGACAATCAAATCCGAAACAGAAACTTACATGGATATTACTGAAAAAGTAACATAGCTGAAAGCAAATATGAGCTGAAGCATTTTGGTGGGGGAGCGAAATAATTTTTAAAAAGTGAATGATGATTGCACCATTTAAGGCTATTTTACTAGCAACCCTCCCTAAACCCAATGCTATAGTTTAGAAAGTGAAATTGAAAACAACTATAAAAATAAGAATATAATGAATGATAGAAAGAAAAAAACCCACAATATTTACTCTAAATTAAAATATTAGGAATTGGAAATGCTGAAATACTGAGATAAAAGACAAGGGAAATGCATGGCCAACAAATTCAATGATAGCACGAGTGAATTATTTTAAGGTATTAGGAACAAAAATAGTCTAACAATATATGATTAATTAGTAGCTAGAGATGGCACAATTGCCAATTTCTGCCAACACAGAAAAGGTAAAAATACTTAGTATATTCAGATCTGAATTTATGAAATATGCTACTGATCCTACTGAAACGAAGTTACATCAGCGGAGCAGTAGGCCATATAAGACCTACTGAAGACACACATTTTAAAATCAGCAATTCCAGGTAAGTTGGAACCAAAAGCTGTAAGAAAGTTGGCTTAAGAGCTCTTTGGACGCTTAGTGTAACTCTTCAGAAACTGCTAGAACTCAGGGGAAACTCCAAAACACTGAGGAGTTTCCATCTCCAGGACATGTAAATGCGTGTGCGCACACGCACACACACACACACAAACTGCTGTTGTTTGTAAAGGACAATTAGTTCATTATAAGACTGTCAGTTTGACACTGATCTGCATTAAATACTGGTATAGATAATGTGCAACTTCATTTAGACAAAATGAAAGAAAGTAAATTAGTATCAATCAACTTCAGATTGTGGATAAAAGAGATCCTGGAAAACTAAATCAGTGTCTTTTTTAGTTGATTATAAGACTGATTCATAAAGCTCATGCCTTTCATATAATGAAGACTTCAGTAAGCCATCAGTCTTGGTATTGATTTTGATTATGTGAATAGCTACATTAAATGGGTTACCATGGAGCAGGGAGGTCTTGAGAATAAACTGTAGATGGGGAATTGTCACATGGCTTTGTTTCTATGAATTTGCCCTGCTCCTCTAATACTTCACATTTTTATTAACAACACAGAAGAAAATATAATCAGTGATAAAGCATGTATGTTACCCCAATTTTCAGAGGTAAACAAATAAAATAAATAAATAAATAAAAATAGAGTAGTCACTGATACACAGTGCATAAACCAGTCTGCAAATTGGGTACTGGCAAACCATATGTATTTAAAAATAGCCAAAAGTAAATTTATACATCTAGAAACAAAGAATGAAGGCTGTACAGCAGGTGGGACACCTGTGTGACTGTCTGTATTAAACAGCTTATGCGTCAGGGTAGATAACATGAATAGATGGGTTCCATGGAGCAATGCCATCTTTGTTCATACAAAAAATGTAAGTTCAAATAAGACTGAAAACTGATGGACATTTAGGAGAGCAAGAAAGACTTATGAAAGGACTGGAAAACATATAAATAACCTGGATGAATTTCTTCTACTTGTTGTTTACTAAAGAACAGGTTAAGAGCCAAGTCATGGTCTATATGAGTAAACACAGACAAACACAGGGCAATTAGAACTGCAACCCATCAAAGTAAAAAACAGCTACATTCAGTGCTCAAGATTAAAGCCAGACAGTCAAGAAGGGAAGTTCACCTCTAAAAACTACATTCTAAACTTAAAATTGGCTCATTTTCTAAAATATATCTTTAATTCAAGCAATAATTAACTCATAGAAAACTTTTGATCTGTAGAGGACAATATTCTGTCCTGAGCATTGTGAACCTGTGAATAACTCCCTAATAAAAAAAAAGGGGAAATGAAATTTCTTCTTTCTTAGCTTATGCAGATAAGCTACTTACTTCGGCACGTTTTCCCATCTCGCCTCAGAACAAATCCATCATGGCATTGGCAAGTGTATGAATCATCATTATTAACACAAAGATGTTCACAGCCATGATTGATTGATTTGCAGATGTCTTTATCTAGGAGCAATTTAGATGTTATTTATTATATTTGACTAACAGAACATTTAAAGATTAAAAACAATAAGATTAAAAGTGTTAAGTTCCTAATGAAATAAAGAATTTCTCCTTATTTTTACCTGTGGAAATTACAAATCAGAAGACCCATCTCGAACAGAATGTTTCTTTAGTAGAGCTCTAACTGCAAAATATGCAGAAGCATCAAATAACTTACTTTTACATGTTTTCTTATCTTCCCTCAGTATGAAACCCTCATAGCAGTGGCAAATGTATGAATTATCAGTATTCACACAAACATGCTGACAGCCATGATCAACAGAATTGCAAACATCTTTATCTGGAAAAAAAAATAAGAGTGCCAGTGGTCAAAACAAGTCCACGAAAACATAGATTATACAGGAAAGCTTATATTAAAGATTAAATATACTTACTTCTGCATGTTTTTCCATCTTGTCTCAGTGCATACCCCTCATAACATCGACAGATGTATGACTCATCAGTGTTCACACAAATGTGTTCACAGCCATGGTCAACAGAACTGCAAATATCTTTATCTGAGAACAGTTAAGAGTGTTTGGTTAAAGCACATGTACAAATGCACATATTATACAGGGAGAAATAATTATTTTTATTAGGTCAACTTATATCATTAGAAAAAAATGACCAACAACTTAGGCAGCAAATTTTAGCACATGGTACCTTGTGGTTTTTGTTCCTGGTCATAACAGTTTGTCAACTAAAATAAACTATTTCTGTTCACAGAGTCTCTCACCGGATTCCAGAAGGTATAATAGCACTACTCCCGTATTATGATAGTAAACTATGAGAGCGTGGTTGGTTAAACACTTCCACAAATGTACCTACTGCAGATGAAGGATTACCAGTAATCATTACAGCACGTACTGCGGCATGTTTTCCCATCCTCTCTGAGCAGGAAGCCCTCGTGACACTCGCAAACGTACGAGTCGTCTTTGTTAACACAGATATGCTCGCAGCCATGGTGGACCGATCTGCAGATGTCCCGGCCTGTGAATGATTTTGAAAACATATTCACAAATGTGGATTTCATAAGGATGTTTCTGCAGTGAGACATAACAACCTCATTTTCCCCCCTTGCCTGATGCACATAGAAACATGTTCAACAGAGACCACTCACTTCTGCATGTCTTCCCATCCTCTCTCAGTGTGAATCCCTCATGACACTTGCAGGTATAGGAATTGTTAGCACTGACACAGAGATGTTCACAGCCATGATTGACTGATTTGCAGATATTTTTACCTGAGAATAGTTTAGAAGATAAAATTTTGTGTTAGATGAGGGCAGAATGTGCAAAGTCTTACAATTCTCACTTACTAACTCTTCTTTTTTTTTTTGTAGCAGTTTTTATTGGAACCAAAAGAAGATATATCGTCATCTTTCTACCAATTTGCAATGTTGGTGCTAGGCAAAAATTTAGTGTTCAGATTACAGAATTTATAGTATTTCATGTGCCCGTAATAGGCAGATTAGTGAGCTACAGAGATTTACAAAGGCAGCTAAACGGCACATCTACATTTCAAGCAAACCTGTTGAGAAATAGTTCTTTCCACAATCGTCTTTTTATCTTCAGGAATGATTCTTTAATCCCCAGGAATGAAATAGTCATGCATCTTCCCCCGGAGTTAAATTTTGTAGGTGTTTATCATTCTCCTGTAAACTACAGTTGTCCAATACAAGCATGTAAATCTGAGTTAAACAGCTTTGGATCCACAACAGTCCAATCTGAGAGCTGTTATTTACATGGCACAGGCATTTAGGGAGTGATTCAGGTATATTAAAGTAGGCACCCACTGTTACTTTAGAAGCCCTAGAGTCTCCAAGGCATTGACGTACTCCTGGTAAATACAGCACCAAAGGGAACTGCGAGCTTCTGGAATCCCAGAGCATTTAAAATGACACTGGACTGCAATGTTTAGGCAATGAAATCCTACCCTGATAGGTTTCTTCTATGTGTTCACCAAAAATATAACACTGACTTGCTGAATAATAACTTACGTTTGCATGTTTTCCCATCATTACGAAGCCTGTAGCCTTCAAAACACTGACAAGTGTAAGATCTGTCACCATTTACACACAAATGTTCACAGCCATGATCACTCAGAGCACAATAGTCAACTCCTGCAGAAGTAATTGGATTTATTAAAAAAATAGGAATGAATGAATCAATATCCTTTAACTCTAGTATTTGCATGTCATGTATGAAAGTTAATATAAACATGTTGATTGAGCAATAAATCAGTTCCTTATCAGCTAACATACATATACCTTGAGTAAAATGGAAGAGGGCCTTGTGCTACGCGTTGTGTTGCCTGCTGTAGGTGGAGTAGAGCAAACTTACTTTCCCACATTAACAGAATTCAGCAGAATCCTCATGTCTCCAGACTTGCAAACTGAATTAAAACTCTGTTTGGCAATAATTGTATATAATAGGCAATGCCAAGGCCAGAAAAGCTACCTTGTACACATTCTTCTCTAAATAAAGTCTCTAAATGGTTTGATAGGAATGTGGTAGATCCCAGAACTCACTTGTGTGCCTGACCCAGCCGCTGCGGCAGCAAGCAGAAAGCTCTCAGGGACCTCCCTTGGTTTTGGCTTGGACTTTGCAAGCTTTTGCAGAAAATTGAAAATGACAAATGTGGTCACATATGGTCCATTTTTCATCTCAAATTTCCTAATGATTTATTCTCTGTGCTACAAAAATGCAGACCCCTGGTATTCTGCAAGCAGCACTCACTACTGTCTATTGGCTGCACACAGAGCTCCACTCATCTTTATGTAATTAGTTGTCAGAGCAAAAATCAATTTATCACTCAGATGTTCCCACAGGCACCTTAAGATACTTGTGCCTGGTTATATGACACCAGAATTGTGATTCCCCACATGTTCTCTCATTAGCAGTGGCATGTATTAAGTGTTAATCCCTTCCATTCAACTGCTCATCCAGGACATCCAAGTGCCAAAACTCTGTTCATGATGGTCTAGAAAACTGGAGCTGAGGAACAGAATAAATCCTTTTCCTAAGGGGAAGTTCCTCCTAAAGGGAGGAGTACATTGGCAAGAATGGGAGCAGCTCCCTGGGGATGGATTTCATTGCACAGAGGCATTCCAGAAGGCACAGCAGTTTTAATGCTGCATATGCATCTCCATCTAGACTGAAGAAAATCAGTCAGTGAAAAAACAGGACTATTTTTACTGCAAAGGAAATGGATCTTTCCATTTGCAAGCTGATAAAATTTTCAAAAAAAATGTTTGGTAGTTTATGGATTTCCAGTGGTTTGCTTAGATAAATGTTCAGAGAAAGTGTTTTAAATAGCCCCAATCCCTGTTACACATGCAATATGGGAGCTCTGCTCTTGCAGAGATTCCTGTTCACTCCTCTTCAGAGAGTGGCAGTAACAGACAGAGCAAAGTCTGACAAGATTTTAGGTGAGGCTAAAAAGGATAGGACAAAGGAAAAAACAAACTGTTTTCCCTAATTCGCCTCACTCTTCCTTACATCATTTTTGTGCCTGAGCAGTTGCAGTTTGATTCCTGTTGAAACTGTGTTGCTGAAGGGCAAGAAAACCAGCAAACACTGGAGCTGCTGCAAGATTTAAAAACTCGAGAGATAATATCACCTCTGAAATCTATGGCCCAAACCCTCTCATCTGAAGGGACCAGCCCAAGAAAACTCAAGAGGCAAAATATACACATTCCTATTCACTCTTCTGGATGTATTTTTCCTGGAAAGCAGGGCATTTGGCTATTTGAAAAACTGCAGTGATTCTCAGTGATCATTTTACAAAGGATGGAGAGATGCCAGGACAACGTTTATTAATGCATTAAGGACTCCAGGGCAAACTGTAAAGCCAGTGCAGTACCCCCCTCCTCCTCCTTCCCCAGACGACATGCAGTATTTTGGGGAACACTGCTGTCAGATGACCTGTTTGGCAGACACAGATGCCACACGAAAAAACTGTCCTCACCACCTGAGGATGGATAGGTCTTTCAAACCTTTTCTGAAAACGCTAGGATTTCTCTAAACATTTTTTCCAAGTCCACCCCAATACATTTTTCTCCACATGTCTCCTTTCAAATCCTTAACGAGGTACTTCTGAAATGCAGTATTTAAGAATAAATTGAAGGCCTGTCCTTGTATGAAGAGAGAAGTCCTTCCCAGCTGAGCTGAGATGAAGGGGCTCTCACAAGACTTACGTGTGCAGGTTTTTAGGTCCTCATTGATGACAAACCCTTCGGAGCACTGACAGACATAAGAGTCACCGGTATTTAGGCACAACTGCTCACAGCCATGATTGCTTTCAGCACAGTGGTCCACTCCTATCAGTTTGTGTCAATAGTGGAAAAAAACCACGTTAGAGACTTAGGCACACACAGCAACACTGCAGTCAGCAAACCAAGTCTTTACAGACAAGGGGAAAAGATGAGCACAGCTCTGTGTTTCTGTCCTGTGCCCATCTACTTGAATAGTGTTCGTTAACTAACCACAGCTCCATGAAATGACTGCAGCAACCCCACTTAACAAATAACACACCCGATGAAGCCAGGCTTCCCTTGCCCACAGCCACAACACAGGGCAAAGGCAGAACCCTGAGGTTCTGCTTCATCCATCTCCCTCCCCAATCAGGCCTTCTCAAAGGCAAGACTGTCTTTTGATCTCTTCCTGAGAGTGAAAGGGGGAATATTAGTAACTTCTGTAATTTCCTAAACGTCAGATTATTCCATAAACAGTGAATTCTTTTCTAACAGGATAAAAAAATCACCAGTTCAGAACTTTATCCCATTCACATGGGCTATTAGTTAAAGTCTGGCAGGGGACAGATACAGGTTATGAGCGTGAAGAGTGTCTTAATATGTTCCTTTTCTTTGGTTTTCTGAGGAGAATACTTCCTCTTCCAAGTAAAATGGAGTATTTTTTGAATGTTTGTATGCAGCAGTTTGTATGAAAGAGAGAGAAAGGGAGTTGAATTTGGGTTTAAAATCTGTCTTCTGTCTCGTACAAGGGATAGCAAAGCAGTCAGGCAAGATACGTGCACTTGTGAATGTACTGTGTAATCTGCTGACTCTGGAAGTATAGGAAAAGCACATCTTAGGAAAAAAAGCTTTACACTGAGCTTCCTTGTAACATTTTATTGCTGACTTTTTAACAGCTATTTTTAGTTACACAGGACCAAATCACTTTAGCTTAACTTGACTGAAGTTACTGGAGTGCCCTCAGATACAAACAGAGCCTCATATGTCCCTATTTGCAAATTATTTACAGATGCAAGCAGACATGTCTGTAGCTATTTGTTTACATCCCCCCCAAAAAGTTTCTATAGTTAATAATAATAAAGTATCTTAGCTTTAAATAATGTTATTTATTTATTAGTTTGCTTAACTAGGTAATGAGTTTGCAGGATTTCATCCAGATATGTAATTAGAGATAATGTTGGCTTGAACAATTGAAGCTGAGATTGAAGTTCTTATTAGTTAAAGCAAGTTCCAGCTGGAACAGCCTCCTTTTTCCATGAGTTTACTTCATCACAAAGACTTGTGTAACTTCTCAGAGCACAAGAAAGTGGAAAAAAGGGGAAAATGTTTTTTTTAAAAAGTTATCCTTTCTGAAAAATTCCATCTGCAATTTGGCACCATCTTTTATGAACACCTATACAAACGTGAATTTAACATTTAAATACTTCAGGTTCTCACATATAATATTTCAAGGAATGGAAGAGCCAGAAAGCTGCTAAGTGCCAGGTTTCAGAAACTACTATAACTATAAATTTAATTTAATCATTTAATATATGTATATGTAAAAATCATTGTAAGAGGGAAGGGAAGATAAAAGGGTAGAAGAAAGGACAGGAAGGGAAAGCGGATGTATTTTCTAAAGTAGCTAGTATTGTGGAATGTTTTTAAAAACAATTCAATTTGTGATAGCCCAAAACATCTAATTGTTAGAAAGTGATGAGTCCTTTCTTCCTAAAAAGATCAAACCAAATAATTGTGTAATCAATATATAAAAAATATAACCATATTTCCTTAAGTATTGCTTTATTACCAATGGTTTGTTAAAAGAACCATTATCCTTGAACTATCTACTTTCCTAATTTTGCTAACTGAGTACTACCTTGTTAAAAGTATATCAGGGAAAAATGCAACCAGTACTTAGGTAGTGTGTTAAGAATGCAAAATGGCTCTCTGGGAGTAAGTGTCTTCTGAAAACTGGATGACTCCAAGTGGACAATTTTGTTGGGTGTTTCTGGTAGAACATTGGTCTTGCCCTTAGCAACATCCACATCAAGGAGGGCATTTTATCAGACAATCACCACCAGCATAACCATATGGATGGAGGAAGTCTGTACACATCAACATTAGTATTAGGTTTGTAGTATTAGTTTAAATAGCATGTAGCAACGGTGCAGATGTTTTAACAGCAAGCACTGCCTTTATGCTAGACACCTTGGCAGAATACATGTTTCCAGTTACTTGAATTATGGAAGATGATGCATTGCTTCTCTACTGGTAAGGGATCTGACTCGAGCATTACTTCACTAGTACTGGCTCTTGGTAGACTTTGCAGTACCACAGATTTACATAGCCCAGGGACAGCTCAAAAGGGATCCGGGAGAGTTCTCTCTCTTCACACTTTACCCCACTGCAGTAACTAGTTGCTGCAGTTTACGAGGAACACTCAGTTCTGCACGTTTTGCCCGCATGTCCTAGAGCGTCTCCAGGATGATTTGCATACAAGTGACTTCTCAGTGTTAACACATTCATGTTCATGGGTCACGCTGACCTCAAGCACAGAAGTTTACTTCTGTAGAGAGGAAAGCACTGAAGAGCTCAAGCCAACAAGGAAGCTTCAAAAAAAATGGCTTAGAAAAGCTCATGTTTCTTAAATCCTACTGGATTCTCTGCTCTGCTCTCTGGTTAAAGCAGTTATAGCAACTGATCTGATGGCTGTTTGCTCCTGCTTGGCCAGGCAAGACTTTTGACTCCCATATTCTCTGCTCCTGTAGTCATCAAAACTAATGCATCACAAGCAAGGAGGAATGCTTGGTGCTTGTTGACAACTATGTGTTCTTCCTGATTTATAAAGAGGGACCATATGCAAATGTTCTGATTTATTTTACAAGCTTATCTAACATTAGTCTTCTTACAAAAAGTTTGGGAATATGAGCTTGGTTACGAAATGTCACCAGATTTACAGCCTCATCCAAAGTCCTTTGAAATTCAAGTATCCCAAATGAGCATTGTAATTTGCCTTTAATTCACAATTACAGCCTTGGCAATAAATATTCTAGACAATTCTAGGTCTTTTGGTCTTATGCTCACCAAGCACATCCATTCTATAAAATCCTGAGTGTGTTAAAATACCATGTAATACAATACATGGTTGCAGGGACTGCTGTGAAAAAAAAAGCACTTTGTAGACAGAAGTTCTTCATGAGAAAGTATCTTTCCAGTCCAGTACAGTTCCAGAAAGAGATAAACTCTATGAGAGCCTAAAAATATAATCATGTTGCTGTAGGTAAGCTTCCTATTCATAACACGTCAGTGATATAGTCCACCCCTTTCAGTTCTACTAAGTCAGCAGATCAAGCTTGTTCTTTTGACTGAATACGTGCTCCTTCTGCATAAAGAATATTGCATAAAAAATCTGCTCTGACTCTAGGCTCGCAGTCAAAAGAGCTGTAACACAAAAGTCTTTCTGGAGTATGTAATATAGACTTTGCCTACACCAACTCAGCCAAGCAGGGTGAAATTTTTAAAACCAGCTGTTTGTGTCACTGCAAAACAAGGTCAGAATGTCTCAATAAGTAAGGAACTTCTTGGTTTTGAGCCACTGCCTTGCTACAATACTCCTCAGATTCCCATAAATCTTTTAAGAAAATGTCTATATTCAGTCTAGTCCACAAAACAGCAAACCCTTCATCCTTCCAGCATGACTGGCTCAGGTTAAATTCAAGTTCATAAAGAAAGATTTCTTTCAACCTTAATTAGAGAGGAAACTTCCATCTTTCCAGAAAGGAAACCATTCACAGCAGGTCTAACAAATAAAAGCAGACAAACTTTATTATGTCCAAAGAATTACTCACTTTTGCATGTTTTCTTATCTGGATTAAGCGTAAATCCATCTTGGCATCGACAAAAATAGGAATCGTCTGTATTAACACATTCCTGTTCGCAACCATGGTTTTGCAGAGAACAATAATCTGGTCCTAAGTGGGAAAAAAACAATAATTAGGTAAGAATAGCAGATAGCTCATTTACTTTTCCCTTGTATTTACCTTTCTAGGTACTATTTTGACTTCTCACCATATTGTTTCAAAGGATGAAAAGATAATGTTACTTTTTTACAAATAGCTGCCATACTAAGCATACTCTGATGTGATATGCACATTATTTGAAGGAATTCTTGGAGAGCATATGTACAAAGTGAAGTACAGAAATGAGCATCATAAATATTCCTTGACATTATACAGTTGAATCATAAAGTTCTCCCATTTATTTCCTAATTGATGCTTTATTTTACTCAGAGCAAGCTAGATATGATCTGTAATAAGTGCACAAGCAGGTTTGTAAGCTGCATTCACTATATCAAACCAGGACTTCACCAGGAGAGACAATATTTGAACATGTCTGAGATATAGTTCTCCCATTTAAAATGTTCACAAGAGGAAAGACATACAAATTCTAGCAACAATTTCCACTTGCATAGTAAGTATCCTAGAAAAGAAAGATAATTGTGCAGCAGTCATTGAGATCAGCACCACATGGGGTCTAACACCATTAATAAAGTCAAGAAATCTGACATTTACTTAGACATAGTGTCTGGCCATCACTTACATTACACTACTTTTACACCAGTGGAGTTAACTAACTAGTAAGATAATAGTCTCAATCCATAACATTGCTAAAAATAGATAAACAACAGAAATCAAGAAAGTTATCTTTTTAAAGACAGCTAGAGACTTTTCAATACTTTACTGAAGAACCCTAACTGACATTCAGAGGCTTCTTTGTAATTTCAGAGATAATTTGCTTCCTGAGGCAGACAGTTCTTTTTTATATGCCTGGTGGCTTAATTCAACTAGCCTTTATGTACGGTGAAAGCCCTTGACAATAATGACAGCTATATTTTCAGGACAAACAAAGGGGAATGTGATTTTATAAGAAAAACTTGAGAATATTATCTTATCCCATATGAATTTGACTGTATATATTTTCTTTTCCAATACATATATACATAACAAAGAGATACGTTAGTTGCTTCCTAAAATAGATTCAAAGTAAGTTTTGCTTGAAGGGACAGAAGCGATAAAGCCACGTGTGTGCACCAAAGGAATACACATTCATAGAATCATTATGGTTGGAAAAGACCTTTAAGATCATTGAATCCAACCATAAACCCTTCAGCACCAAGCCTACTAAAACATGTCCCTAAGTGCCTCACTTACATGGTCCTTGAACACTGCCAGGGATGGTGACTCCATCGCTTCCCTGGGCAGCCTGTTCCAATGCTTCACCACTCTTTCTGTGTGGAAATTTTTCCTAATGTCTAATCTGAACCTCTCCTGGTGCAACTTGAGGCCATTTCCTCTCGTCCTATCAGTAGTTATTTTGGAGAAGAGATTGTCTCCCCTTCCTCACTACAACCTCCTTTCAGACAGTTGTAGAGAGCGATAAGGTCTCTCCTGAGTCTCCTGTTCTCCAGACTAATCCCAGCTCCCTCAGACGCTCCTCATAAGGTCTGGGCTCCAGCCCCTTCACCAGTTCGTTGCCCTTCTTTGGACATGCTCCAGCACCTCAGTCTTTCTTGCAGTGAGGGGCCCAAAAATGAACACAGTATTTGAGGTGCAGCCTCATCAGCACCGAGTACAAGGGGGCGATCACTTCCTTGGTCCTGCTAGCTACACTGTTCCTGATACAAGCCAGGGCATCCTTGGTCTTCTTGGCCACCTTGGCACACTGCTGGCTTATGTTCATCTGGCTGTCAAAAAACATTTCCACATCCTTTTCTGCCACACAGCTCTCCAACCACTCTGCCCCAAGCCTGCAGTGCTGCATGGGGTTGTGACTGAAATGCAGGACCCAGCACTTGCCCTGTTGAACCTCATAAAGCTGGTCTGAGCCCATCAATCTAGCCTCTCCAGATCAATTTCCTACTCTCAAGCAGATCAACTTTTCTTCCCATCTTGGTGTCTGCAAATTTGCTGAGGGTAGACTCAATCCTCTCATCCAGATCATTGATAAAAATATTAAAGAGGACTAGCCCCAGCACTGACCCCTGGGGAACACAGCTCATGACCACGGCCAGCTAGATTTAACTCCATTCACCACCACTCTCTGGGCCTGGCCATCCAGGCAGTCTTACATCCAGCGAAGAGTACATCTGTCTGAGACATGAGCTGCCAGCTTCTCCAGGAGAAGGCAATGGGAGACTGTGTCAAAGGCCTTAGTGAAGTCTAAGCAGACCATGTCCATAGCCTTTCCCTCATCCATTAGGTGGGTCAGCTAGTCATAGAAAGAGATCAGGTTGGTCAAGCAGGACCTGCCTTTCATGAACAATGTTCATGCATTTTGGATCGAAATTAGTAAATCTGCACAGTGCTTTGTTGCATCTACCTGCTTGAATCCTTTAAAATTCTTGCTAATCCTTGCTAATATCCAACACGCAAGACAGACATATCTTGGGTAACTGATCGTAAAGATGACCAAAGAAGGTAAAAATATATATTATTAATCCTTTTGGAGCCTTGAGGCTATGATGATGGGAAGCCTACAAGCATATTTCATAGAGTTTCATTAACACAGTCCAGGTTAGGGATGCTAACAGAAAGCCTCTGCCAGCTGCAACTTGTGTGAACCTACACACAACTCAAACAGGGGCCTTTCCAACTCCTTATCCTGCTAAAGAACAACTGTGACTTGCCTCTCCTAATACAAGAAGGATACAAGCACCATCAGTCCTCTTGAAGGAAGCAGAAGCAAGGACTAGAGTCCTCTTAATTGTTAAGAGTCAGGAATTAACTCTACCTGCTTGACTGATAACCTGAAGTTGCTGCTCTCTTCTTTTTCTGCCACAGAAAGAGTACTCTACTGGTGTTTGGCAGGGCTCTTCTCATGAGCTATGTTCCCTGCATTTCATTCAGAGAAGGGTGGGGTCATTTCCAGTGAAAACTTTTGTAAGACAGGCATGACTGTACCGATCACATTTACATTTTCAAGCTTTTCTTTGCAACCATGAGTACTACAGCTTACTTTCTGTCTTGAAAGGAAAGATAAAATGCTGAGATTTTCACAAGAGCTGGAGCCCAAGGCATAAGCTTGCTTGCTGATGTAGTAATCTGGTCTCACATGCGTGTGAGCCTTGGCTAGTTGGCAGTTGTTCCTGAGAATCAATATGTATGCCAAATTTGTTATGTTACAGGTTTTACATTTACAAACATTTTAAATCCAGCTATTTGAAGCTTCTTCCTTTAAGCTGTTTACACTGACTGAAAGCCAACATGATTCATAACATATGGAAGCTCGGACAGACTTTTGTTCTAAAGAGTTCGCCTTTTAACTCTTACCTCCTGTAAGAATCTTAACTTTTGCAGCATTAAAATCCACTCAGTTACTTTCTTCATGTTTTACTTTATTAGCAAGGCTCTGAAGACATCAAGTGCAAGGAGAAGTGCCTTAATATGTTTTATTTATGCTAAGATTCAGAAGATGCCTCTTGAATGAGCTGGATTTTGCACAGTATTTGCTTGTCCTTCCCTGACTATTACTTTTGAATCAACCCCTGCGGCTATGCCTTGCCACCTCTTTTTTCTCAAATTGCAACCTGATGGTATTTTTTTCCCTCAATTTTGATAAAATTTAAAGCATTCATAGCAAAACAAAATGCAGTTAACATGATCACTGTTCAGAGACTGATAGACTCGGTTCTTGCTTGAGCTATGGGATAAATATACCTGTGCCCAGCCTTGCAATTTGCTAATCCTCACTTGCAGAATAGCTGACTTGACACTACCCCTTATTCTGTCACTGGCCACCACCGAGAAGAGTTTGGCCCCATCTTCCCCACATTCTCCCCTCAGGTACTTATACATATTGATCAGATCTCCTCTAAGCCTTCTCTTCTCCATACTAAACAGGCCCAACTCGCTTACTCTTTCCTCATACGATAGATGCTCCAGTCCCTTCATCATCTTTGTCGCTCTATGCTGGACGTTGTCTAGAAATTCCACGTCAGGAACTTCTAGAGGACTTATCAAGGACAAATCATTCTTTACCAACCTGACCACCTTCAAAGATGTAATGCCTGGCTCTCTGGACCAGTGAAGCAGAGGGGTATGTAATACAGTCTGACATAAATACAGGTCTCCACACTACATTATCCCTGGGATGTATGGGCTGGAATAATGGACTGTTAGGTGACATGAATATTTACTGGCTCAACAGCTTAAGTGGGTAGCAATAAATGGCTCAATGTCTGGCTGGTTGCTGCTAAGGAACAAGAGTATCACAGGGATAATATTGGGCCTCATATTGCTAAACACCTTCATCAGTGACAGATGATGACATGAAGCAAATCCGTGGATGATACTAAATTAGATACAGTGCCTGAAAGCAAATATAACAACTCTGGCACAGAGGAACTTACATAAACTTGAGTATAGGATCAACAGAAATCTTTTGAAGTTTAGCAACAAGAGCAGCAAAGATTTGCACCTGGAGTGGAAACCCCCATGATTTGTACAGACTAGGAGGCAACTCGCTGTCAAGGTGCAGCAAGGTCTGGGGGCTCCCTGAAGGACGGAGAGCCAGGAACCAAGGGGGATCTCTGTGGCAGTGGAGGCAAATCCAGCCCCAAGCACTGGGTGCCTCTGCAGGACCAAGGCGAGGCTGAGGCAGGGTCATGGTGGGGCTGGAGATCAACACCACTGCAGCATCCTGAGGCATGGACTGACAGCACTGGGCTGGAGTGAAATGGGGTCCTGAGCCTAGACAAGGGTGGGGAGGAGCCATGGAGGAGGGCAGCACAAGGAAGACCTGGTGGTGATCTCCAGGCCCTGACACTGTTCCTAAGTGGCAGCTCTGCACGACTTTGAGGTTTATACTTGGTTGACCCCAGCGTGTGTGTTTCCTGCAAATTACGCAAGCATCCATAGCAAGCAGATGGAGAGAAGTTACTATCCCCTTTTAATCAGCAGTGGGGAGGCTGCACTCGATGTATTTTGTCCAGCATGCCCCGCCCCCTCGGCCCCGAATTCAAGAGAATAAATTGAAGAGGGTCCATCAAGGACTTTCTGAGACTATTAGGGGCATAGAGCCCCCCTAGAGCTCTCTCTAGAGGAGACAGCTTGAGGGATCTGCGCTTATTTCATAGAATCATAGAATCATAGAATGCTTAAGGTTGGAAGGGACCTATGGAGGTCACCTAGTCCACCCCTCCTGCACATGCAGGGTCACCTAGAGCATGTGGCACAGGACTGCGTCCAAGCGGGTTTTGAAGATCTCCAGAGAAGGAGACTCCATAACCTCTCTTGGCAACGTGCTCCAGTGCGCTGCCATCCTCACTGTTAAAAAAATTTTCCTTAAACTCCTGTGGAACATTTGGTGCTTCAATTTCCAGCTCTAGTTCTGTCAGTGCCCACCTCTGAAAAGAGGCCAGCACCATCCTCCTCACTGCCTCCCTTGAGGTACTTATAGACACTGATTAGATCCCCTCTCAGCCTTCTCTTCTCCAGGCTGAACAGGCCCAGCTCCCTCAGCCTCTCCTCATAGGGCAGATGTTCCAGGCCCCTGATCATCCTGGTAGCCCTGCGCTGGACTCTCTCCAGCAGCTCCACATCCCTCTTGTACTGTAGAGCCCAGAACTGGACACAGTACTCCAGATGCGGCCTCACCAGGGCTGAGCAGAGGGGCAGGATCACCTCCCTCGAAAGGGCTTTCACAGGAAGGGTATGTTGTATATAACCTCTCTTAAAAACACTCCTTCCCCCCATTCATTACCGTTAAGAAGAAATTAAATGAAACAAAGAAATTTGTCTGCTCATCCCAAGGAGAAGCCCGGCAGAGGGGTGAGCGGCTCCGAGGGGACCTTGCACAGACGGCTGCAAGCGCGAGCAGCAGCACTGTCAGTGCCCAAACCCAGCAGGGGCTCTGCTCTGCTTCCCTGCAAGTCCCGTGACATTATCCACAGCTGTATCCTACGGGAGTAAGTTCCTTCCCGAAGCAGCTGTCTCCTTTCCTCCTTCCTGCCAACACACAACCCAGCCACCAGGCACCGAACACTGTCCACTCATCTATCCCACATCTATCTATTTAGCCAGGTGAAGAACACAGCTAATAGCAGTCTACAATTACTGATCGTCCTTCCTGCCAGAGCCAGATCATATAACAAGGGGTAATGGTCATGACCTGTGGCCTGGGTGATTCAGGCTGGACATTAGCAAAAAGTTTTCACTAGGAGGGTAGTGCAGCACTGAAATTGGCTTCCCGGAGATGTTTCGAAATTCCCATCTGTGGAGCTTCTCAAGACTCAGTGAGACAAAACCACAGCTGACCTGTGGCAGTGATACTTAAAAGGTGAGGCTGAAGCAGATGGCCCCCAGAGGTACCTTCCAACCAATACGTACATGTGTTTATTCCTGTGATATAAGAGCAGCAACACATGGTCAGACTGCAAGTCTATATAGCTGAAGATCCTGTCTCCAGCAGTACATACCTAAGGCAAATATGTCTTTTCAGGACAAACCTGAAATATTGCTTTCTCAAAACACTCTCTCCATTTCCAAAAGTCTGTAGCTCATCAATTTAAACAGGTTAAAGTGGTTCATAGGATTAGACCACAAGCTAAACCCAATTCAATATAAATATTTATAAAACTATAAACATAAAATGTTTATATAGTTTTAAGGTCCTTGATCAGCTCAAACTAGGGGAGAAAACACTACTTAAAATCCACTTATTTAAACTGAGGGAATCAGTAAGAATTTTTGCTTGGGTATTGGAAAGCACCTACACTATACTAAGATAATTTCATACTAGATACATGTGGAAACATATGTGGAAGTATAAGAGAATTTAGCTAGCCTTTAACTGAGATATGCTGACAACTGGGCTAGTGCACATAAGCAACAAGCAACGTGAACTGCTGCCAGCTGTACTATGGCCCATGGTGAAAAGGTAAATTCAGCTCTCTTAACTTTAGCTATACAAAAATGAGGTATCTTGCATGGCAAGTCATATCCATACTTTCTGCACAGTCAGGAAAATGTAGGCACTTTCAGAAATATGTCACTGAGAGAGGTGCAAACAATCGCCTTCTAGTTCCTTGATGATCCAGTCTGGGTTAGATGCTTTCTTTAATACTGTTAAAATTAAGTGAACCATATCCACCACAATCTATTATACAGTCGATAGTAACACAGCCTCCCATCATAAAGATTCAAGTGCCCACAGGACTGTAAAACCTGCAGAAATACAGTGCTGTATTGATGCATTTTTGAGAAATAATGTTTGTTCACATCATTAAATAATATAGACCAAATTCACTGCTAGCAGCAGCTGTCTACATAAAGTGCTTACAGACACACACAATTGTTCTGTTTTGTGTTGTTTTATCAAGGTTCATATTTATGAAGAAAGGCAACTTGGAGTGTACATTCACATTTTCCCTTCACATTTCCTGGAAGCAAGTTACGAATTTAACAACGCAGGGTTTTTAGCTTGATTTCTCAAAAAAGGGAAAACTTTGCAAGTGTATTTTCTGTCCTGACAGGTCTCCTCCACCCCCAACTCTACTAATGTTTGAACTTCTTAGCTCAGGATCAATCAAAGCTGAAAAAGGTCAAATACAAAGCTATAACCTGGTGGAAAAATGAAAGCTTGGTAGAGACTACTCAGGTCCCCACAGATCCCTTTGGCAAAAGGTATCAAAGAATGCACAACAGAACTCAGTACTCAGGAAAATTCATAGGAAAAAAGTAATAAGGTGAGGAGAGATTGCTTTCTAGAAACTTATCTAGGGAGATGATACTCTAAATGTAAAAGCTGGATCATCAAAAAGACTATTCAGGATAGAGCTTTTTGCTCTCAGTATCTGAAAAGGATACTGGCCTCATGTTAAGAGCTTCCTGTCTATAGAAGGGATCCTTGTCCTTTCCTCGGAAATCTCCCCAGAACCCTCAAACAATATTCATTTGATTTTATGACCTTTGGCTTTAAGGGAACTCTAACCATTTTTTATATTTAACATATTACCCCATGTCTTTGGGAAAAGAGGGACAAGAACTCCTGAGAACTGGAAAGCAGGAGAGTAAACTTTTCAGATTTAAACCTTATCATAACTTACTTCTGCAAGTTCTTTTGTCTGGATTTAAAATGAACCCTGGATGGCATCTACAGTAGTAGGAGTCCTCAGTGTTAACACATTCATGTTGGCAGCCTTGGTTATCCAATGCACAGTAGTCTACAACTGAAAAGAAAACAAGAGTAATAGGTACAATTAGAAAACAAAATTAGAACTGTTATATATAGAGATCATGCTACTAGCTGCAAACAGTATCTACAAAAGAGGGAAAAGCTGACATAATTTCAGATGACAGAGATTTTTTGAGTCCCAGGCTACTTCTCCTACCATATCACCAGCTGTCCAGTGTCAGGCAGGTTCTAGCCTTTCAAAGACCTCCTCAACATGTTTTCTCAGATCTGGAAACCATGCCTCAGTTAGGAGCTCTGTCCAGATGTTCACACTGTGGACCAGGGTGAGCCAAATCTGCCTGATTTAATTCTATCTTCTGTCCTAGAATTAGTTGAGGTTTGTTGCACCCGATTGCTCTACATTTTCTCAATTTCCCTCCATCAAGGGGTGTGTTAGGCATCAAGAGCTGCTCCGGTAGCCTGAACACGTTGGAGGCCATGGCAATGAGGACTGTCACAGAACACACAACCTTGCACCAGAATGATCCTATACAAAGTAACTGCAGCTATGGAGGCTGAGAGCAGTCTAGCACTATCATAGTTAGTCCAGTTGCTTCTAACATAAACCTACATTTGCAATATATTTTGCCACAGAGTAGAAAAGCAATTTTTTAGAGTTCATCAGACAAAAAAAAAAGTTTTAAACATTTTTAAAAAGTTATTATTACTGTTGTTATCATTATTATTATGCTTTACCTGCAGCGTAAGCAGTTCCTTCACACAGGAAGTCTTAGAAGAAATTAAAGGCAAATAATGAAATGGGTGTCTTGTCCACAAAAAAAATGCCTGGCTCATACTGTGAAGCTTGCCTGATCCTTTCTGCAGAAGACAGTAATGCATCCAGCCCTCTTTGCCATTTGAGTAACTGAGTAATTTGAGTAATTACTTTATACTGCTGACTACTACTAGTATTCAAAGTACTTTTAAGAGTCAATAGTTTGTTTTTATAAAATCAGTTCTTTCTTGCTGAATAAAGACAGATACTCTGGTGTGCTAAGTCAAGGCCAACCAGTCAGGAAAGCAGATAATTCATTTAGTTACTGTGAACGATTTTTTTTTAACCCATTAGAATACTGGCTTTGAATCAAGTCAGATTGGACTGCTCAGTCAGTACCACATGAGCATTTTTCTGGCAAGTGCCTCCTGTTTACAGACTAAACAATTTCATATATAAAACATCAAGGATAAACACTTTGAGGGTATAATTTATCATACATTTATATATAATATGCCATACAATTAGTCAGATTTCCTCTTAAATTAATTCTAACCACATGCCTATTTTCAAGTGGTTTAAAAGACACTTTAGCAAATAGATGAAGAATGCACCATGTCTTCTCCCTAGGTCTGGGAAGAGCCTGTATGATCTCTCCATAAACTCACCTCTGTCTCTGCATTTAAACATGCCCTTCTACCACAATAACTGAAACCGAACAACTAATGACAATAAAGTTGAAAAATAGCGGAACAGGTTTTGGATTTTTTTTTTTTGGTCCATGTCTGAGCAACTATCACCCTGAACACTTTCAGATCGCAATCTCTTCCAGCAAGGGACTTTGCCTTCTTATGTTTATGCTTCTGCTAATGTGCTGTGGACACAAATTAGAGAATAAATAATCCATATATATAGTATATTTTTACAGGCTTGCTTTACTCTATGCATATTCAATGTTGGGAGCTCTTACAGAAGTAGGTCCTCTGGCCTCCAATAGTAATGAGCTATCAGTATAAACAAAACCTTTTTACTGACACTGTTAAAAAGTAAGAACATGTTCTTCCCTGTTGCTTTTGGAGATTTTTTCCAATATCTTTTATATACAAATTACCCTAATTCTATGCAGGCTTAGCCTTGCAGATTTACACTAATAATCAACCTACAAATTCATTTCAATTCATCATCCAGTTTCATCTTGATGGCTTAGAAGGCAAACTTGGCAATGCATTTAAGTCAGCTAGTAAATTACTTGTCCATGAAATTAAATTGTCCTAGAAAGACTGAGAAGAATTAAAAATCTATACTTATTATATTGAAGCATTGCAATCCTTTACTTTGTATATAGAGAATAAACAGTCTGTATAACACCAAAGCAGAGTAATATTTTCTTCATTTTTGTTAACTGTTTTACTGTTTTCATATTTCTGTACTGACTTGTGAGATATACAACAGAATGCTAACAGTTAGAAATTTCACTGTTTTTAATGTTAGGCTATGCTTGTTTCAACTAAAACAAAGCTTCCAAATGATGAATTAGTGATATTTTTAGCAAGAAAGCAATTAGTTCAGTTGTCATCTTTCCATGTTTGTTCCACCCTGTTTTCCTCATTTGGAATTAGTTGTTAGTGATGAGAGACATCTTTTATTTCTAGTTTCCAGTTTTGCACTCGGGGTGGTTACGTCTCCCGCTCTGATCCATGGTCAGCATGGAATGCTGACCGTATTTTCATTTTACGCCTTTAATATTTATATAGTTTTTTGGGCTTGAGACGAATGAAGCAAGCTAAGCATGAGAGAAAGCCTAGGAAGCAAAGGGAGCACAATAAGGAAAGGCATAAGGAGAATTAAAAAAAAAAAAGGGAGGGCGGGGAGTAAAGGAGATTCATGGCAGACTCTGTAAGTAGTGTAAGAACCCAGAAACCAGCTGTGAAGGCAGCAGTGCAAGGAGTGCAGGCAGATGCCAGCAGCCCAACCAGTGTCAGGAGAAGAGTCCAAGCCCTGCAGCTCTTCATCTGCAACTCAGAGAAAGTCTAGTCCCAGTGCCAGGAAAGACAGGGCAGTGTGTCCAGGAGCACCAAGAAGGTGGGGAGAGTGGGACGAGGACAGGGAATTCAACGTGTCCAGCAGGACCAGCAGCGCATAGTGGAGAAATGGTGGCAGCTCAAGACTTTATCTGGCAGAGTTTTGTTCATGGGAAGGACAGGTGGCATGAAAAGCTGATTAAAATGGCTCAATGACAGTACAGTGCTTCTGTTTAATTTGTACTTTTTTCATGAACATTTGTGTTTCTAACATTGAGATTTACTGGTCCTTCAGGAGTCACTTTGAACAGCTACGTGGTGAGCTGCTGGTTTTGAGACTTTGTTTATTGCCATGCAGGTAAAAGGCTGAGCAGTGTGTCACCCAGGCAGCTAGCACTGCCTTTGATCCTTAACTGGAGAATGTAGCCTGAAAAGAGGAGGAGAACCTAACAAACCTGCCTCTGAAATGGAGCTTTGCACTTTCTCATTTCCTTTTCTGGCATTAAAATTGTAGATGTGGAATTCTCTCAGAGAGGAACCACTGGCTCTTTGAGATTTGCAAAATATGTATGTCCTACTGAAATTCTCTCTTCATTATCTGGATGAAGAGGACAGAATAATGAAGTCAACTGCTTTTTGCAAAATTATTGTTATATTCTGATGTCTCTGGTATATGTGTGAATCAAGATGATCTTTCCTCTTATCCTGCTCATTTCATAAGCAGTCATTCACAGAAATGAATTGTTCACTAGCTTAAAAGTAACAAAAAGCAAAAGTTATTGCTATTGTTTCATTAGTGTACATAGTCTGATTGAAAGATTTTCCAGTGGTTCATTATTTATTGGGTATGACATTTGCATGAAGCTGGACAATTTCATGGTAGCACATTCTTTGAAAAGTCTCAAGTCTCAATATTGAAAAGTCAAATTCTTCAGACTGACAACTAATAGGATTTGCAGACAAATTAACATCAAAACTGAAAATCAGCCAGACAACCTTTTCCCATTATGGAAATGTAGAGAGGCTGAATTCCACATGTGTAAAACATAATTGATGTATATTGAACCACTCGTGCATCATTTTGAAATGAAGAAGTTAAATAGTCAAATAAATGATGCAAATACAATTGAAAAGTACTAATTTGCTTTCAAATTACAACTAATGGTGCCTGTTATTGCAAGGAAATGAAACCATGAGTTCATGATTTTTGTCAAACTAGTTAGAAATGAAAAATAATCAAGTGGAGAGGAAAGGTAGCTAAAAAATGCAAGATGTCAAAGTGAACCTATACATGAGCTGGATTTAAAAATAATTCAGAATGGCTGAGAATTTGAAAGCAGTGAGAAGGTAGAGTGGAATGGAGGAAAAAGTAATTAAAAATTTTAAAAATATTATTTAAATAGTTATGAAAAACTAAAGATGTATTACACCTCCAAATAATACTCTGCAGAATTTGCAAAGAAATGATTAATAGGCCAAAAAAAGTGCCATTGAAAGAAATTTAGTAAATTACATAGAAGTATTTTTAAGGTTATTTTTAGTTAAAACTTAAAATTTTAAGTTTTGAATTAAAAAAAAAACCTACCAAAGATTTCACCATCATTTATTTTCATTGCTACTGCAAGAGAAGGTTGTACAGCCAGTAATCAATGAAGACTTGTGATATATACTACTGTCAATATAGAGGGAAGTAAGCCGTGGTAAGTTAGAAACTAATTTAACGTGAGATGCTTCCAGAGAATGTGCAAAATAATACAAGTAGTGGGGAAGATGAGATGCATGGTGATAATATATGATTATATAATCTATTATTTATTGTATTATTTGTATTTATTGTTATTGTAGTCACCAGATGACCTTAAGAAATGGAAAACAATTGTTCAGCAAACCCCATAATCTCTCAACAGATGGTACTAATGGAACTAGTATAAGAATACCACATCAAATTTTAGTATGCATATTTAAATGTATTTTAAAATATGTTGTTAAATGTAGAAAATATCTTTGGCTGTTAAGAATTTTTTGATTTAAAAGAGAGAAAATAGTAGTAACCACCGATGGCAAACAAGTATGACTATTTCAAATCCAAATTTATGATAGAAAACAATTATGGATGAAAAAAAAATTCCAACAGAAAGTATGGATTTTCTGTCTCATCAAAGGAAATAAATATATGATGTATCTGAACACCAGTAAAGGTCACTGGGATTAGTTGATGTTATTGGATGAACATCTTGGGCTATCAGATGCAAAAATTTG